AGTTGGAGAAGTAGGAGGAAGAGGAGAAGATACTTCTTCCTACTTCTCCAGCAAGGGAAGCTGATGTTTTTGGCCGCGAGGCGGCAGGATATGGCTCGCGGGGTGTTGATACCCCTATATTAGAACTTGCTCTTTACTTGAATGACTGTTACAATGACGCCAGCCTTCCTCTCAACGTGCTATTGATTTCGCAGAAACAATTCATCGATGTACACATGAAAGATGATGGAAAGAGGGCAGAGCCAATGGGACAATTCTGAAGCGCACTTTGTGTAGCTAAGGTTGGTTACGTATAGATTGATGACACCGGCTCGGAGTCGCAAGCCCGGGGATACCTGTCCAGTCCCGGTGCTGCTGCCTCGAAGCCTGAGCGAATCCTCTGATCTATGTCAGACTGCACCAGCTACTCACCTTTCAATAGTGCGGTAGACCATAGAAAGCCTAGACGATAGTTCTCCTTGACAGGGGCCTATTCGCAGGTAGTAAGATTCCTACATCTTGCAATTTGTGGGTGCGGGACGTCGCGACGCTCAGCCAGATATCCGTTTCTTGAGATGGCAAATCCAAAAGCAGAAGCTACATTTTCATATCTTGATGTATATAGAAATGGCAGGCCAAGGCAGGATGAATCTAAAGACGGGCCTGTGCATATAGTCAGAGCAAGAAAGAAGCAGGCTGTAATGCTCTGCGTGGGGTGCTCTTCAAGACAAACATCTTCGTGTGTGGCTGAGTACAAGCCACAAGGTCAGCCACACGAGATTGAGCACCTTGGTAGCCGTGGCGCAGTAAATCACCTCATCGCATCAACATTCCACCATTTCTCCGAGACAGCCCAGAGCAGGAAGGATGGCTCCGAGGCTCGACCGGCGGTTGCGTCACAGAGTTGGAAGCCTTGAGGGTGGCACTGGCCCGATAGCAGCACCTGCCCTGCGCTTCCACCCGTGCCTGCACTCATTTGCCTTTACACGCGCCGGGACAAGCCCGCAACACCATCCCGTCCTCAGATCAGTGGCGGCGCAAACCAACCAAACCAGCCTTGCCTTTCCTTTCCCAACAAGAAGCTGAACCTGAAGCTATCGACTTTCTTTCAAGTTGCTCGTTTGGAAACCGCCGTGGACTTCTTCACTAGACGGGGCCAGACAATTTAGACCCAAAGACCAACGCGCCCGACGGTGACCTGCAGCTACCCCTCCGCCCCGTGCCAGACTCCAGCACCTTCGGTTCAAGGTGGGGCAGAGGTGCCATCCGTCTCCCACCTTCAGCGACTCTTCTTCATTCACTCTTCTGACCGCCACCAGGAAAAAAAAAAAAGAATATCTTTCGACTCATTGCTGGCCGGTACCAACTGCTGAAGGACATCTCACGAAGCCACGCACGAAGCCAAACTCTTTTCAGCGACCTTAACAGTCAAGCGCACACCTTCGCCATGGACGAGGATATCTCCAACTTCGTCGCCATCACGGCAGCTAGCCCGGAGGCCGCTCGCGGCTTCCTGGAGATGACCAACAACAATTTGGAGCAGGCTATTCAGCTTTTCTTCGAGAACCCCGACATTCAGAGTAGTTTCAACCAGCCGTCCGCCACCTCCTCGACAGCGCCGCCAGTGCCCTCGAGTACCCGACCGAATGTTGGACGGCAGGACGAGCGCGGGGTCATTCACATAGATAGTGATGACGATGGCGATACGGCCATGACGGTGGACGATATGGACGATAACTTTGGACACGACGACTCCGAGATTGCGGCAAACGAACAGGTGGCGGCCATTGCCCGAAGCGCCCAAGAGGAAGAGGATGCCGCCATGGCCAAGAGATTACAAGAGGAACTTTACGGCGGTGGTCCTGGAGGTGGTGGTGGCGGCGCTGGAATCGGCGGCGGTCAGGATGATGTCAGATCACCCATCGCCAGAACCACCGAGACGTTGGTTGGAGGCTACGACGGTGACGATGGTATGGACATGGACACCATCATCCGGGCACAAATGAGACAGAGAGAAGCCGCCAGGGCAGCTCGAGGTGCGTATTGGGCAATGTCTACGTCTTTGGGTTTGCCATGCTAATATTTTGGGCACCAGCTGGTGGTGGAAACCCCTTTGCTCATAACCTGTCCATCTGGGATGATGACAGCCCAGCTGCCGCCCAGCCCGCCCAACCCGCTGCAACGGAAGGCGGCACGCGAGCCCAGAGACTGGCAGAGCTGTTCCGGCCGCCCTACGACATCATGTCCAGACTGGAGTGGGACGAGGCGAGACAGGAGGGCAAGGACGAGAAGAAGTGGATTCTGGTCAACCTCCAGGATATGAGCGACTTCAACTGCCAAGCCTTGAATCGGGATATTTGGAAAGATGCGGCTATCAGGAGGCTATTGGATGATGCCTTCATCTTCCTGCAGTATGACAAGGACGCCATGGCGGCACAGCAGTACATCAACTTTTACTTCCACGGCACCGGCCACGAGAACCCAGACAACTACCCGCATGTCGCTATCATCGATCCGAGAACAGGAGAGCAGGTCAAGGTTTGGAGTGGAAGACCGTTCCCCAGCGCATCTGACTTCCACGCGCAGTTGGCCGAATTCCTGGACCGCTATAGCTTGGCGGCGAACAGCAAGAACCCGGTAGTGGATCAAGCAGCGCCCCGCCCCAAGACCGTCGATGTCGACCGAATGACGGAGGATGAGATGCTGGAGATGGCATTGCAAAACAGCCTTGCAGCGTCCAACGGCGGTAGCAGCAGCAGCTCCAAGCCTAAGACGAGCGTATTCGATCCTGATGCGCTGACCAAGTCGGACTCATCCAGTGGCCGAGGCCAGGGCATTTCTCCAGTCGAGGAGGCGGCAGGCGGCATTACTCCCCCTGCTGAGCCGGCAGCGGCGCAGAGCGCCTGGGCCCGGATTGCGGGTGACAAGCCGCACACGGAGCCAGAGAACAACCCGGCAACGACGACAAGGATACAATTCCGACACCCTACTGGACGTGTCATCCGTCGATTCAATCTGGAGGACCCGGTCAGACGCATCTATGAGTGGCTCAAGGCGGAGCCCCTCGAGGGCAAGGAAGGAATTGAGGTTGAATTGAAGCGTATGCCGCAGGGCCAGGACTTGAGTGACGGGTTGGACACGACTATCATGGAGGCTGGGCTCAAGAACGGCACCGTCATGATTGAGTTCATTGAGGACTAGAGCTGGCCTGGGTTCGACTCAGCGACTGATGATTCGGGCGGGAAACGTCGGTTACGGGCAAGGTGCATTTATTCAGCAGGGCCAGGGCCAGGGCATGGCCGATAGAACCGGAACTGGACAGGCGGAAGGAAGCCTGCTTTTAACATTGTTCGTTTGGGTTCTTCTCATACATAGTACGATATCCGGCGAGGGCAGGCAGGCAGGCATGGAAGGACGTAGTTTATCGAGGACCACGGGTAGCCTAACAGAGTCAAACAGCGGGCCAGAAGATTCGGACGGCCATCCACCGTAAGTAGACGCTTGTTAACACAGAGACGGCATCAATAGACAGGGAAATGAAAGCAATGCTGGTCGCGTTGTGATACGAATTGAATGATTGAGACGCGCATACAGTGAATGACTTGACGCGCATGTGTCCCTAACGCGTGTAAAGGAACAGAGTATCAACGTCCAACGATCCGATGCCAATCATCTTCAGCCTCTGCTGTCGTATTCAGTGTAGATGTATTAGTGGAAATCCACACCCAGGGCTGAACGGAATCGACGGCAAGGTCAACCAAAAGAAGAAGCCAAAGGAACAAAGATGGCTCAAAGGTGCTCCGTAGATGTCTTGGGCTGAGAAATGTGGGTGTTTCACTAGGCTAGAGCATGAACTATCTATCTTTGGGAAGTGTGCTTGGCTCACCTGGGCATCGGTAGTGGCGCCGGTTGGAGGGGAACCAATTAGAGGGGGATGACGGACGGGTTCCTGGACGGGACGTGTCACTGCATGCGAGATGGATGGAGGGGTGATTGGATGTGGTGGGTTGCTCTCGTCTGTTAGGTATAGTGCTAAGGTAGTACCTATATTGATGTTGGTGTTGTTGAAGCTGAGATGGCGAGATGGTGAAATGAGAGGTGGGAGATGGATGTCTGGTTGGCAGCGTTTGGGTCGATTCTGTGAGGTGCAGTGCCAATTGATAAGCAGGATGTGATCTGTGCACGCTCGCTTACGTTGGCGATAATGCATTGCGCAGATACCTTACGGCATTCTATTGTTTTGACTGCTGGAGGTCGCTGACGTTTTTACTGGACAGGGCCACCCCAAGGACCATACCGATGGCAGGGGGAATGGATACTTGAGGTGGGATGAGGGGAACCTTGGAACCCAATTGACATCAACAGCAGTGGTTGCTGGTGAACCGACCCCTCGGTTACCCTTTCAGATCATGGCATAAACAACGGGCGATGGGAGGCCCAATAGACACCTCCTGATTCTGTTTCTGCCTTACTTTGGTCATTCCAACCTGCTTTACGAATACCTCAGATTCAATACTTCCCAACGCTGGAGCGTCGCATTTCCGTTTACATGTATTTGGGGAGTCAATCTTACCAAAACAGTCCAAATCTCAAGGTGCCTACCTACCTATCTACCTACATAGGTACCTACGAAAGTCCAAAGCCCCGGACTAGCACCAACACCAAGACCACACCGCAAACATTGACAACATCCCAAGACAACATTCAAGAAAGCGACGACGACGCAAAGACAGCCACGCCACCGCCTTCTTCTTTGTGGCCTCTTTCAACCGTCCAGAGGTCTGACTGCTTGGTCTCGGTCTGGCTTGGTGCCGTCTCTTGCTACCCCACACTCTGCCTCGTGTGCCCAAACATCAGATTCCCGTCCGTCGTTCCCTTGGGACCAAAGCACAGGTACCAACCGCAACCCCACGACGCTTTCTTTTTTGCGCGGCTCTTCCTGGCCATACTCTGAGATTGCCCATCTCTATCCGTACTCTGTAGGTCTCTTGAATATCCCCTGCTGTTTGTTGTGCCTACCTATGGACTGTCATCTAGTACCGTGGCCCGGGGCACTGACGTCTTTCCTTCCCTCTCCCTTTGCTTTGGCTCTACCAAATCCACCGACTCGCGAAGAACGCGAATTACAGCGGCCCGCTACAGTGTCTCACCACCACCTCTGGAACTTTTTTTTCCTCATCCTCACCTACTTCACCTACCTACCGTAGTAGTTTTCCCCTCTCCTTGTTTACCTCGTCATTCTGTCTCTGCATCTTGAAGAAAAAGGAGAGACGAGACATTCGACACGCGACAAGAGCCCACGTACGATTGACGCCGCCCCCTTGGGAACTAATCACCGTTAGGCTCCGGCCGACTTTGTCTCTAGCACATTTTTTGCTAACAGCTCGCCTTGAACCAGATCGCTTTCTTTCTCTCCTTAGTCTGGGCCTTCAAAACCAGCCTTCTCGGGGGCCACTTGTGACCACCTAGCCCGGCCTCAATCGCTTCTACCTCAGCTCGACGACAAGCCGTATCCGTCGTCCCCCACCGCCTCTGTCCCTCTCCAGGTCGCTCGCCCTCAACTCCAGGATCCCCTCTTCAACCAGCTGCCCGCTGCTCGCTGCCCGCTGCCCGAGCACCAAGGGAAAAAGAGACTTTCCAGTCCGAGAACTCAATTTCCCGCCAACCGAACATTTCTCTGCCTGACGACAAGAGGCATCGGACCAGAGACGAACCACCACTGCGCCGACGTCGAACGACCGCTAATCCCACTGCGCTGACGAACTTTCGGACCCCTTGCAACCCCGCGATCCTCTCCTTTGCGACGGACGACAGCTCTCGACGGATCAGCCTTCTGTTGTTGCGCGGCGTCAATCGAACGACGGCTTTTCTCTGCTGGGAACTCACCACCCTTTCTCGCAGCGCTAGACCGCAATCATGGGCGATCGCGATAGGAATATCGAGGAGGGCAACGAGGCGCTTGATCCCGAGCTGCTCTACACCAAGGAGTACTGCATCGGTATGCGCGCTGCTTCCGTGCTTGGTGCGGCATGTTGCTAATACACTGGATTTGTCTAGGTGGAGGAAGCTTTGGCAAGGTCTACAAGGGGTAAGTACCGCCGAGTTCCCCTCCCCTCTCCAGCGAGAAGCACCAGAGGACTGACCATAACTCGTACAAACAGAGTCGACAAGCGCACCGGTCACGCCGTAGCCATCAAGATTATTGATATCGAGAGTGCCGAGGACGAAGTCGAAGACATTATCCAGGAAATCGCCATCCTGTCCGAACTGCAGTCCCCCTATGTTACGAAATACTACGGCTCGTATGCCAAGGGGGCGGAGCTATGGATTGTCATGGAGTTTTGTTCTGGCGGAAGCTGCGCAGACCTCATGAAGCCAGGTCTGATTGGCGAAGACTACATTGCCATCGTCATTCGCGAGCTGCTACTCGGTCTCGACTACTTGCATACGGATAAGAAGCTGCACCGCGATGTCAAAGGTACGTGGATCACTCTGCAATGCGCACCATTTGCTATTTTCCTAGAGCTGACATACGGATTCAGCTGCCAATGTACTACTCAGCTCCAACGGGCAGGTTAAACTCGCAGATTTTGGCGTTTCGGGGCAGCTCTCGGCTACCATGACGAAGAAGAATACTTTTGTCGGCACACCTTTCTGGATGGCCCCGGAGGTCATCAAGCAGTCAGGGTACGATCATAAGGCTGACGTCTGGTCGCTTGGTATCACGGCGCTGGAGCTTGCCAACGGCGAGCCACCGTATGCTGATATCCACCCCATGAAGGTGTTATTTCTAATCCCCAAGAACCCCCCACCACGGCTGGAAGGAAACTTTACAAAAGCATTCAAAGATTTCATCGAGGTGTGTTTGCAGAGGGACCCCAAGGACCGACCTACGGCCAAGGACCTGCTCAAGCATCCGTTTATACGCCGCGCAAAGAAAACGAGCTACCTGACCGAGCTTATCGAGCGCCACAGCCGGTGGGCTGCGACGCACAAGGGCGACGATGACGAGAGTGACCAAGGGGGTGAAGAATACTACGAGCGCCGGCAGGTCGACGAGGACATGTGGGATTTCGGCACAGTGAGGCTCGTAGGAGATCGTGGCGGCGTCGTTCCCCGTCCCGGACTTGGTGCCCTGGACGAGTCTGCCACCAACGCCAGAGCTGCGAGATCTACGGAAAGCATAGATGATTACGGAGAGCGTTCGAGAGACAGCAGTCCGACCAAGATTCGCGACTTTGGCCGAGACCTCGCCGTCGCCTCTGATACCCTCAAGGCGGCCAGTGCCAACACGGGGACCTCTCGACAGGCATCGCCGCAACGGAAACCAGTGCCGTCAGTTGCGCCTGCGCCCCAGTCGCCGGCCAAGGTGCCTCTTCCAATGTCACCTGAGAAGTTGCAAAGAGGAGGAGGAGGGGGTCCAGAGACACCGCGACCCGTCTCTCGATTGATTCCTCCTGCCGTCCCGGTCAGTCAATCTCCGGACTACGACCGAGAATTGCAGGTTCAGTTGCAGAAGGACATGGGCTTGATGAGTCTAGGCCCTGTGATTCAGCCCGCCGATTTGCAACACCTCGATGATGCTACACCCCCGCGACCCCCTCTCCATGGGCCTCGGCCAAACAACAAGTTTGCACCGATTACTCTTCCAGAAATCCCACCATACCGCGGCAGCCCGCAGGCGCAACAAACGCCGGTCAGGATACCGAGCCAATCTCCGAATGGGCAACATCGCCAACCGTCTGGCCAGGCGGCGCCGCCTCCACCACCAAAGGCATACGCGCTGCCCTCAAAGACGCAGACACCTACTCCTGAACCCGCGGCTCCTTCATCCTTCCCCCCGCCAGCGCCGTCTAACCCCAACGGGGAGTTGGACGCCTTGAACGATGTCATTTTCCCTGCACTCGAGGAGGCGCTAAAGAGGAGACAAATTAGGCTGCAACAGGCATTCCGACCTCAACAGGGTTCGTCTAGCCTCGTGGCCATGAACCAGGTGACCCCAAAGCAACAGCGAGCGGAGGCGGCTCACGAGAAGCTGCGAAAGCTCGTATATAAGCTCGCTCATGTGTGTAAAGAGATTGACCACTATGACAAGGCGGAGCCCGTGGGTATGGGCAGGGACGTTGGCACCTTCCTGGAGGGGCTGTTGGAGGAAATTCTCGTCAGGGTTGAACCCCTCGACGAGGAGGATGTTGCGGCGTGAACCGTCTGATGGTCCAGGCGGCTGTGTGTGAGGCGGAACGACAGACAGGGGTAATGCTTGGTGGGGCACCCGACGAGCACATGCTCGGATGCTCGCGAGTCGTCGCCGGCTGACCGGCGAGGTGGGATGGAAGATGGGAACGAGCTGCCCCGTTGATGACACGACAATACACGGGGTTCTGGAGGATATCTATCGCCCCAATGCGAAAACGAAGAGGCTTATTACGTACGATGCAAAGGGCCAAAGGAAGGGAAATCGGGGTTGATGGAATGCTGGAAACGACAAAGATGACAAGACGACGGATATGACATGACGGATAGGACACATACACATACACATACACACACTTGGCCCGTTCCCCTTCTCGTCTTTTGACTCGGAACTGGGAAGTAAACACCGGGTGGCGGATCCAGGGTTTGAGGAATAGAGGATGGGATGGGCTGGGAAGGGGACGCAGGAGTGGTTCACAAGACGCCTTTTTCCTTTCTGTTTTTCCCTTTTCTACAGTTCCTCATGTATTATACCCAGCATTTACCAAGAATAGAGTGCGTGCTCTTTCTCTGAGACTACCGGGCCACCACACCCCCGGAGAAACCGATGCAAGGCTGAAGAGGGAGGCTTTGGTGCACTAAGCCGTATAGGGGGGGTTAATTCTTTTCTGCCCAGTGGCAGTGGCTGTTCCCGTGTCTGGCTGGGTATGTCATGTATGGGTCTATCCGTATGGGAATCGTTAGACGTTGCCGAGAGTCAATACTTTACTGTAAGCGAGCGAGCCTTGGCTTTGCCGCTGCAGAGACAAGGCAAGGCCTTGGGAGAAAGTCTCGCTCTTTCTTGAGGCCTGCCCCGGCTCTCCTGAACATTCGTAGAGCGTTCGGCTGGGGGAGGGGGAGGGGAAAGCAAAGACTGGTGGATCGACCGTGGAGGTTATATGGTATACGGACGCCAAGGCGCCGTATGTGTGTGGTGGTGTTGAACCATGACTCTATCCACGACGGACCCATGTCCGGCGCGGCTGAAGAGGATGGAGGGGCCTGGAGAAATGCTTGGCAGGCCGTACGAATCGATCGAATGGGGACAAAAAAGTGCGTGAGGGGGGAACGAGGAATATGAGTCTTTTGAGGTTTCCGATGGCGGGATTCTGGGTGTGATGTTTGACGTTGTCTGTGTGTCTTTGAAGGCCCGTGGAATCCTTGTTGGAGGGATGAATCCGGACCAAGGCAGCACGAAGTTTACAACAGGATCCATCGAGGTATGATCTTTCTGTACTCCGTACGGATGGATATCCGTAGCATATTGAAGAAAAGCAGGTTCCTGCAGCCGGCTTCGGCCGGCCTTGTGTTGGCAACCTTGGAGGGACTCTCGAGTCTTGAGTCTTGAGTTTCTTGGAGAGAAGGTCGCAGCGGCAGATAACCTGAAACCAGACGCGCGCGTGGGGCGGATGCTGCGGTGCTGGGCAGCCAGGAAACCCTGCGGCGAGTCATGGACCCTGAAAGAAAATGCCACAATTACAGATACACTCACTGGTGCGAGAGAGCGAAGAAGGTGGGAAAGCTGCTGAAGGTGTTGGAACGGCATTGACGATGGCTGGCCTTGCTGGGCAGAAACTAGGCCATGGACCTGGGTTGTTAGTACCCACAGATGGCGCTACGGCGTTACCCGTCGCTGACACCATGATCCCTACACTCTTTTCCCATTTCTTTCAAGTCTGACTGGTTCTGTTCCCAAGATGTACGGACAGACACAGGCAGACCGTGTCCTTCCGGGTCTTCTTCAGGCCAAGTCTGGGGGGGGGCCTCTTCTTGGGACGAGTCAATCGAGTCAATCGTCTGCGCCTCCACCCCGGTCTCTCCCTCAAAGTTGGGACGCTGGGCGCTGCAGGACAAGCAGTACGGCTTGGCCCTTGGAGGATGGGATCCACCATCTCTTGTATGTGTTCTGTATGGTCTTGTCTGGGTGCGGGTGCGGGTGCGGCTGGGCTGGCTTACCTACACATTATATAGTATC